TAAGGAATAAAAAAAAAAAACACTCCACCACATAAAATACAAAGAGGAGAAAATATCTAGCCGGTGTTATGTATATTAATAGGATACTTCATTGAAATTTTAGTAGTCCGAAAGTTTAGAAATTCAATTATATTATATAACAATATGACGTCACAAAATTTGTAAACTGGGCTTAAGATATGGTGAACTATATTTGAAAAAAACTTAACTTATCATATTAATACATAAACAAGCCGGATAATATGTAATGAATATCACAGTAAATGAGCATTGCGTACTAGTATTTATAATTTATATCAATTCAAAGTCATAACTATAATTGAACCATTAACTATAAAACTATAAATAACACTTACTCTAAAAAAAACTGTTCAGTATAAGTTTGAATTCCTAAAAGTTATAATTATTACATTATTATCATTATTCAAATTCATATTTACAGTATTTAAAGTACATGATTTAGATTATCAATGTTGCACATTAGTCATTAATTGTAATATTGATATAAAAATATAAATTAGACTTACTCAAAAATACCTCATAATTATACGTACAAAAGTGAATTATTACTGCTTATTATGTATAATAATTAAACATGACAGGCACTGTTATTATTATACAGTATAAATACAATTATTTAAACTGTACAATTATAACAATTAAAAACTATAATTTTATAAATTTAATTAAAGTGAGTGATACACAAGCCATTTATCTATTGACCTTCAAGTATATATGAATTGAATTTCGTACAAAAAAAAAACTTCTAAAAAGTAGTTAATGTTAATGCATAGCAGCGCTACGGAGTGACGTCATTTTATTCATGAGAAAACACAATTTTGATGTTGAAAGTACATGATTTAGATCATCAATGTTGCACATTAGTCATTAATTGTAATATTGATATAAAAATATAAATTAGACTTACTCAAAAATACCTCATAATTATATGTACAAAAGTGAATTACTGCTTATTATGTATAATAATTAAACATGATAGGCACTATTATTATTATACAGTGTATATATTACAATTATTTAAACTGTACAATTATAACAATTAAAAATTAAAATCATATAAATTTAATTTAAGTGAGTGATACTCACCCAATTTATCTATTGACCTTAAAGTATATATGAATTGAATTTTGGTATAAAAAAAAAAAACTTCTAAAAA